GATGATGATGATGATGATTTGGGTGGGAAAAATCTAGCCAATCCAAATATAATGCTGTTGAAAATTACACATTGAATATTGAAGCAGAATATTGTGCTGTTACATAAAATAAGTTATAATAGTGCAGTATAAAAGGGTTTTGTTGGGAATGCTTGTGTTACTTATTTGATCCTGATTTGGAATAATTCCATGGTTTAATGTAGCTTGTTATAAAACATTATAAATGTGCTTTTACAATTTTTGTCTTAATCGTCTAGAAGGTTGGTTATCGCTTCCAAGTAAGCAGAATATCCGCAGACATGGCTGGAAGAAGCAGTTTGTTGTTGTTAGTAGCCGAAAAATTTTGTTCTACAACAATGAAGCTGATAAGGCTAATTCAGATCCAGCTGTTGTACTAGACCTCAGGTGGGTTTTGTTGAATGTTTTGTTTTACAACAGTGAAATTGATACAGTTAATTCTGACCCAACTATTCTTATTGCAGCTATCATTATGAACAATGGAATGACCGAATACTCAACAAAGTCATGTATTCTTTGCCATATATGTATAGGTATGATAAAATGCCAGGATTGGGTGTGGAACAGTCACTGGAATATTCCTGAGGTCCCACTTGCCCATAAAAATAAACTGTAATAAAGGTCGATTTTAACAGGACTTAGTTTCAGTGGAAACTTCTGATATTTACTGTACCAGCTAAATATCATGTTGGTTTTAATTTTGATATTTACTGTTCAATCTAAATATTATGTTGTTTTTAATTTTGATATTTACTGTTCAATCTAAATATGTTGTTTCTAATTTTGATATTTACTGTTCAATCTAAATATGTTGTTTCTAAGTTTGATATTTACTGTTCAATCTAAATATTATGTTGTTTTTAATTTTTATATTTACTGTTCAATCTAAATATTATGTTGTTTCTAAGTTTGATATTTACTGTTCAATCTAAATATTATGTTGTTTTTAATTTTTATATTTACTGTTCAATCTAAATATTATGTTGTTTTTAATTTTGATATTTACTGTTCAATCTAAATATTATGTTGTTTCTAATTTTGATATTTACTGTTCAATCTAAATATTATGTTGTTTCTAATTTTGATATTTACTGTTCAATCTAAATATGTTGTTTCTAATTTTGATATTTACTGTTCAATCTAAATATCATGTTGGTTTTAATTTTGATATTTATTGTTCAATCTAAATATTATGTTGTTTTTATTTCTGATATTTATTGTTCAATCTAAATATTATATTGGTTTTAATTCTGATATATTAAAACTAGTTATGAAAATAGAAGGTGAGAAATCTAATATTGGTATTGTGTTTTATTACAATGTTATTTTTGTCTTGCATTTATTGAGATGTATTTACATTTTGTATTTATATCACCTATTTATCGTACAGAGTTACAGTTACACTTGAACAGCCTTGATTTTCATCATCATCAAACACAATAAAACAATCAACAGATGTGTTTAAATAGTTATGTCTGGTTCTGCTACTAATTTTGTTTATCTTGTAGCCAACTTAACTGGTGTTTTTTTACTAAGCCGAGTTTTTGTTGGTTTTTTTCACCTTGATATTTTGATAACTATATATTTGTTATGTAAACTGATATTTGAAAGTTTTGGAAATGTGTGCCTATTGATTGTGAATAAATTAAAACAAACTTAAAGTGTAAGGTAACATTTTATAACCTTGTTTCAGGCTAGACTTACCTGTAGTAATAATAGTTCGCAATTCACATAAACTTAGGTTAAAGTCAGCTGTTAGGCTTTGGTGTACAAAAACTTGCAGAAGTAAAAGTGATTGAGGAACACCATATAATTTATGATTGAAGCAATGAGTAGATTCTATTAAATCATTAGTTAAGGAACCCTTGTTTTAAAGTCTGTTTTCAACAATAATCTGAACAGTATCCTCATAAGATGAGTAACTTTCATCTTAGGTCTGTACAGGTGAAACAAGTTTAATTGCAAAATGTTATTCTGTAGGAATTTATAGATAATCTAAGTTTTCAAGAATATTAACAGATAACATATTAATTTATCTAAAATTAACAAAGCAAGCTACCTACATAAAAACCAACCCACTAACGAAGATATATAATTTAATATACTGTTCTTACATTCTCACTTATAAAGTCTAGAATTTATTACTTCACACAGTCATTGAGCAAACCAAGTAGGAGAGAGATGGTAGTGATCCATGTTCATTATGTTATAACACATCATAT